TTGCTGAAAGTGAGTTTTTCAGCCAATTGCTGAATTTTTGTCTTCCTTGGAGTTGTTTTTTTTCCTCCCCCCCAACCCGGGAGAAATGAGAAACAATTCATATACTAGATCTAAAGTTTCATTAAAATTGCTTATGCCCTGTCTCAGGCATTTTAAGTGGGCCATCTGTCCAAACATCTCTCTCTTTTTTTTTTTCTGATCATTTCCTCGACTTATTCATGAGCCATGGGAGGGCTCCTTTGTAGTCTCTATGTAGCTAGTTCTGTCTACCCCCACTGAATACATCTATGTGCTTGCATAACATATCTTTTCACTGTGCTAGAAATTCTCTGAACTTGGTTCAGATGAATGGCCCACTTTCTGAAGGCCTTTTTCTTCCTGCAAAGATTTGTATGCACAAACTGACCTCAGTGGCTGTGGAATGCAGTGTATTATTCTTGATCATTTTACAGACCACCCACTGTGAAAGTTATGATAAAACATTTCTTAATGATTCTTTGACCATTAGCATTATTTTAACTCACTGTTTTCACTACTAAATAGGTAGTGGCACAATCAAAAACCAGCTTTTCTGAGTGTCTGATAATATGCTTTTGAGATGCTTATAATCCTTGCTAACTGAAGCTGTGTTAGTCCTCATATTTATATAAAATCTACTTTTAAAAAATGACATGTAATAGGAATGTATTTAAGTTAGTTTTATTTGCACATTTTTGAGAAAAATATTCCAATAAATTAAATTTGTTAGTATTAATAGTGATAATCAGCTGATGGTTTTTCACCATAAAATGTAGAAAAATTTAATTTTGTTGAGCATATTCATTCTGGCTGGCTGATGGTAATCAAAGTGGACAGGCCTGGGTAAGAGCTATTATTTGATTTTATGTGAATTCCTTTTCACTGGGTTTTTTGTTTGTTTTTTAGCAGCTTAATTCATATCAGCTTTGCAGGTGACTGATAAGTTGCACAGATTAAATTTTTGATCAGATGACAGCCTCTTTCCCTAGAAACATGCTTCAGTAAAGGAAACTGTTTTCTGTGTCATTACGAGCTGAGTGAAGCTCCGTGGCCTTGCCCCCTCTTTTCAGAGAGTTGTTCATAAAAATCTTCTCTGAGACTATTTTGAATTGAATGGATATGTGTAATTCTTTTTAAAATTTAAAATGTAACTTTAGGTCATTGTTACCATCATAAACATGTTTGTACTTGTTGAATTGATATCAGTATTTCAAAGTAATTATTATAATTTACTTTCAGTGATTTTGGGGAAATAGGGAACATATGCTCTCAGATTTTTATATATTATTATTTCTATAGTTTATTACTGTTTATTTCTACTGCAGAGTATATTTGTATTTGCTAATTAACTGGCATATGTACCCAAACCATTCATTTAGTTAAAAACAAAAACAAAACTACTTTCAAACTTACGTAAAGCCAGAAGGAATCTTAGCAAATTTTGTCTGTAGAAGAGTGAACCCATAAAGAGATTCCACACTTCTGACTCTTTTTGGTATCTTGAGGTCTTGCTTTCACAGTGAAGCCTCTTTCCTATATCCTATTAACATATCACCTTAAAAGAAATTGTTAGAAAAGCACCACTTCAGGAGTTAAGTGCTCAGAAGCAGCAGCATCTTCCCATCACCTGCTCAATTCTGCACTGATCCATTTTTACAGGTGTGGAAATTTTGGATCAAGAGGATTGAATGATTTCTTAGGTATATTGCTAGTAAGAGAATGGGCTGAAATTTAGACCTCAATGTTTTAACCCAAAAGCCTGTGCTCTTTTTATAAGGTCCCTCCTGGGGCAAGTTATAACATATATGAAACAGATGTGGATCAAAATAAAACAATGGAAAAATAAATAGTAGTTAGGTTCTGAAGAGTGGCAACTACAACTAGCCACCATCTGTAAGATCGCTTTCTGTGGGAAAATGTGTTCTGGGTTGGAACAGGATGTCAGGATCAACAACTCCCAACTCCCATGGAAGCACAGGCTTGTTACATAACTGAAAAGGGTCTCAACATTTACTTCAAAGAGTAGCCTACATCGGGCCACTAAATTTTGAAAAATACTACAGCACAAAGTGCAAGTTAAGTGGAAGAGAGATCTCTGAATTTACACAATAATTAAGGAACAGTTTATGAGGGAGGTAATATCCTTCTTGAAGAATCTGTTAGTTTGAGAAGCAGAGAGTAGATGGAATCCAGAGTTTCTTTAAAGGAAGAATGTTCAGTTATGGGGTAAAATAAGTAGATAGACCTAGAGTAGGGACTGATCATCGTAATAAAAGTTATCATTTGTATGCCTTGTTTAATTTAATCCTCAATACGTCCCTGTTAATGCAGATACTATTGTTATCTTAATTTTATGCATAAGGAAACTGAGACTTAAACAATTTGCTCAGGGTCAGAAGTAAGAAATGATGAGCTTGGTTGTGTTCCAACATCTTGGAGTCACCTGAGCCCGAGTTCCTAACCACTGTGCTTAGTTCTCCATCACATATTAGGTTGGCTTAAGGGTCTGGCCTTGCAGATACTCTGAAGGTCAGAGAATAGTCAGAAATAAAATTGGATACAAAGAGCTGAGCCTTACTTTTAAGGATCTTGAATGGTAGGTAGGTTCATTAAGGTTTAACTTGGGGTGAAATAGAAAATTATAAAACAATCCACGAGTAGGGGAGTGATGTAATTTTTGAGGAAAGCAAAGATCTAAGAAAGCCACGTAGCACAGTAGTCTAGCAGTGAGGCAATTTCTGTCATCACCAATCCTCTGAGAGGTTGGGGTATTGGCCTCATTTGCAGGTGAGCAAAATGAAGTCTAGTGAGATGATATTTGCATTCCACAGACACCCTGGGAGCATCTAGGAGCTCAGGGCTCAGTTCTCCCTGCGCAGTTCAGCCTCTCCTGCTGCTGTGCTTGGCACGGAGTAGGTGCTTCTCACATTCTTTTCTACTTATCCCTTGGCCCCTTTGCCGCAACCTGTGCTAGGAGCTAGGGATGAAAAACACAAAATGATCTTGGTCTTTGAGAAGTTCACAGGCCAAAGGGGGAAACAAACATATAAACAAATGCCTTGTAGAATATTGGTCAGGCACAGAAGCACTCTCTCTCTTTCCTTCTCTCCACCCACACCTCGTCTTCTTCCCCCTCCTCCTCACCCTCCTGTGTGTTGTCTCTCTCAACCTGTTTATTCAAACTCTCCTGTGTGAAGCTCTACACTCTGAAACAATCCTCTTCAAATTGCCAAAAAAGAATCTGCCAGGCCTGTGTGTACAGTCTTCATTATTGTTGGTGCATTTTTCTTTCATTTTTACTTCTATACTATTTAAAACATTTCCTCATCTTCAGAAAACAAAGCAAGAAGTAGTGGGCTAAATACAAATACTCACCTATATTATTAATCATCATTTGTTAGGCGTTGTGACTAGAGGTGATTTAATTATAATTATAGTTTTTTGGCTATGACTTTTTTTTTTTTTAACTGAATACACAGAGAATTCTTTTGAAATTTGGGTGGTTTAAATGAAAAGGTAACCTGCAACATTTTTTTCAGAGCAGTGGCTTAAGCTAGAGCCAGGATTCTACAAATGTTAATGTTTAGTGCTTAGTAAATATTACTTCACAAGTATAAATAATGTAAGCATGCAATAATTAAATTAGGTTAATTCTGAAATTATTAAATTTTTGTTACTTTAAAAACTTGTGGGAAACATGTTTGTATTCTAAAAATGTTTTTTTCATGGCTGCTGGACCTAGTTTGTCTGGGTACATTAAACTGACCATATGCAGGAAGAGAGCTATGTGATAAGACTAGCATCTTTCAGAGATGTGCAATCCTTTTTTTGGATTTTAGGCCATGGGAAAAACCAGGGTTAGACAAGACATAGATAATATGTAAGTTCCCAAGATGGGAACCACATCTTATTTTTCTTTGATGCCCCAACAGTTAGTGCCAAGTATTTAGGATTTGTTGAACTTATAAGTTATTCAGGTTATTTTCTTTGTTTTGTTGTGGCTGTGTTTTGTTTTAGCAAAATTGTGATATTTTATGTAAAACATAGTTTATAATTTAAATGTAATATATAGTTATCCTGTTATATAAAAGCATATGGGTATTAAGTTGGTATTTGAATAATTATTAAATCAGTTACTAAAATTTTGTAGATTTGTAGTAATAAATGTAAGGTACTTCAAAAGTTTCATGGAAAACTATAATTAAAAAATAATACAGGTTGGCCTGGGTGGTTGGAGCTTAGCCTTATAACACCAGCGTTATGGGTTCAGATCCCCATGCCGGCCAGCTACCAAAAACAACAACAACAACAACAACAAATTTTTTCATGAATTTTTTGAAGTACACTCATCTCATTATAAAGTAAAAAGTTTATTACAAAAAATAACATATCCTAGCTAATAGTATACTAAGGTAATTTTTTTTTTGTAATTGACATCATTAAGGAACATTCTGTATTTTACAATAGAATAATGTATGGAGGTTTGTTCTTTAATATATTTTTAGTCTCATGAACTATGAAGAACAAAATAAAACTCAAATAATTTCTAGGTCAGATCATGCTGACTCGTAATTTATTTTATGTCTCTGAAGTTGAAGGCAAGGCTTAGTTGTTTATTTTATTGTAATTTTTAAAAAACCATCTTGAAGAATAACCAAATATGGAAAAAATTAGTATTTTTCAAGGAAGATTAATTTGTGAAAGACCATCACAATTAAGCAACTCAAGTTCATAGAATAGGTGATGGCACCACAATTACCTTAGAACGCTGTTGTCAGTATACCTGTTTTTCTAAAGTCTCTCTGGTTTAAATCTGAAATCTTTTTTCTAAGGGTGGAACCTTTTAAAATAAAATGTCTTGAAATACATTCTTTGGTAGTTTTACCCTGCACACTTAATGTCAAAGGAAAATTAGTTTATTGAGAGAGAATAATATAAAATTATTAACTGTTTTTCTCTTCTCTCTCTGCTTCAGAGTCCCTATTATTAAACCAGACGTGGCTAACTGGGAGCTCTCAGTAAAGCTGCATGATGAAGTTCATACTGTTGTAGCATCAAACAGTGGGTCAACATTCTCTGTGAGTTTCATTTATTTATTTTTTGGGTAAGCTTGAAATTATCTATGAATATCATCTTTTGAATTTGTAGCATAGCCGTGTATTGGTTTCATCTTCTTTAGAAAGCTGAATATAAATGGAACTTTTTCTTCTCTTATGCTAATTAGGAAATACATTTCTAGATTTAGCCACATTCTAAACCTACTTCCTGATACCTGATTCATTTTTCATTAGTATTATGGAGAGTTTACCTTTGTTATAGAGATGAGCTTCTTTAATTATAATCCCAAACGTGTGACAGCCGTGGTTGATAATCATTCTTTTAAAACAAGTAATCTGAAGCCTCATATGATATTATTCTTCACATTTCATGTTGTGAGACGTTCTTGGGGCTAAGTTTACCTTATGGTGACATTATTTTTGTTTTGTAGAACTTAAATCCCTTGAATAGTATCCATGACAGACCTGTGTTAGTTTGAATTCCGGTTTATAGTGAACAGTGTTGTAGTAAGATTTCAGTGTTTATACTGTAGTCTGAATAATATATTTAAAATCTATGATTTGAGATTGCCAGGCTATGTATATAATTGCCAGATTATGTATATCTACATCTCTCTTCTTATGGCTAAGTTGCATTGAAATGTCATTTTGTTTGGGGGAGACAAATGAATTTTTATGAGAAGATTGAAACAGGATATGAAAATCAAAATATCATTTCACTCAAATAAGACCTGGTGAGGCTTGAGGGTTATGGCAGTTTCTTGATCTCAGTGAGAAAATACTACAAGTTGAGGATTTATGAAAATTTATTTACTCAACAGATACTTATTTCATGCTTACTATGTGCCAGATTAGTGCTAGGCTGTTGCCTTAGAGAAGCTGTGTGGTAATCAGACTCACAAATAATTGAGATTAATTTATGAATTAAGGGTAGTCTCCTTGCTTTTCTTTAAATTCTGTGATTCATTCCATATGCCAAGGTTATTAAAGCTTTGTTTACTGAAAGATGTTTCACTTAACTCTCTTGAAATGAAAGCTTCAATGGAGTTGAACTGTTGCCTTATGTATCTTTTGTGATTCTTTATGTTCTTCCTACCTATATGATCATTTTTTAAAATAAGTGTTCCAAGTGGACACTTAAGCATACATCGGGCTGAATAGCAAATTTTATGAATTGAGTAGTAAAGAGTATTAATATAGTGTAGCATTATCCTGGGGGAAGTTATCCTTATGAAAATATAAACTTTAGCATAATTTTCAGTTCTGTATTGAGTCATCTTTGAATCTTTACTGTAATCTGGTATTCTAATATAATATTTTAAAAAACAATGCCTTGCCTTAATAAGAAAACTGCCCAGATTACTTCTTAGAGCTCTTATTTCTTTGTGCTTATTTCAGATTCAGTTTTGGAAAACTAGACATCTCTGGACTGACTGCTCGAGTGATGTCTTTTGAATTTTTTCCTGTAGAATTATCTCCAGCTTCACTTTTTAGCTCAGGAAGAAAACAAGGCTGATTAACACATTGAAATTAGTATGTTAAAACTTTGCCTGGAAAATATCTACCTTAATATATAGTATCAAAAACTACTTCCCGTATTTATTGGCTTAGCCACTATCAGAAGCATCAACAGCCTAATGAAAAACATTTGGATTGGCTACTTTCATTTGATATCAGTATTATGAAAGGAGGTAGTTTGAACAGTATGGAGTAAGTAAAGGCTCAGTGGTATGAAGATTTCAATATTGTGGCACTATTATCTGCTTTTGGGGTTGCAGAAGCAAGAGCTATGATTGTTTACTTGGTTTCCTAGATTGCCCACTGCCACATCAAGAAAAAAATTAATTAGCCTAAAGGTGACAGTCTAAGTCTGGGTTAATGACTCCAGAGGTAGTACAGGCAAAGTCATATTTATGTAGCCCACACTAAAGCTTCAGGTACCCCATGCTTTCAGAGTTCTTTTATTTAATTTTTAAGAATTTAAATTATAAGATATTTCAAATAAGGAAATTACAGCAAATATGCAGAGTGTCTGCACAGATCTCCTATTAAAAAAGAAAAACTATGAGACTCAGTCCTTTCTACATCATCTCATCCTTCTCTTTTCCTCCCCAGAGGTGGCATCTGTACTTAAGATGCTATGTGTCCTTCTTGTACTTGTTATTACACTTTCACTACATACGTATGTACTACAATAATGGTGAAAAAAAGTTGCAAAAATATACAAACTTAATGATTCTATTTATGTAAATTTTAAAAGTATACAAGCAAAAACAATTCCATTTACAATAGCATCAAAAAGAATAACATGCTTAGGAATGTATTTAAACAAGGAGGTGAAAGATTTATACACTGAAAACTGTAAAACGTTGCTGAAAGAAATTAAAAACACAAATAAATGGAAAGATATCCCTCTTGTGTTAGGGATTAGATGACTTAATATGGTTAAGATGTCAGTACTACCCAAAGTGATGTACAAATTCAGTGCAATCTCTGTCAAAGTCCTAATGATTTTTTTTGCAGAAATAGATAAATTCATGGTAAAATTTGAGTGTAATCCCATGAAACCCCCAAATAGCCAAAACAATCTTGAAATAGAAGAATAAAGCTGAAGGCCTTATACCTCCTGATCCTAAAACTTATTAGAACACCGTGTTATGGCACCAAGGTCTAAGGGTTTGGATTCCTGTACTGGCCAGCTGCAAAAACAAACAAACAAAAACAACTTTTTACAAAGCTACAGGTATCAATACCATGTGGAACTGCTTAAAGACAGATACATAGACCAATGGACTAGAATAGAGAGCCCAGAAATAAACCCTTGTATATATGGTTAAATGGTTTTTTTTACAAGAGTGCCATGACCATTTAATGGGGGTGGGAGCAGGGCACAACAGCCTTATCAACATGTGGTATGGGGAAAGCTAGATGTCCACCTGGAAAAGAGAGAATTTGGACCCTTACTTTACTTTTACCCCTCACTTTACCTTTACTTCTTATACAAAACTAACTCAAAATGGATCAAACACCTAAACGTAAGAGCTAATACTATAAAATTCTTAGAAGAAATCATAGTAGAAAAGCTTCATGATATTGCATTTGGCAATGTTTTCTTGGATTTGATGCCAAAAGCATAGGCAACAAAAGAAAAAATAAATTAGATTACATCAAAATTAAATATTTCTGTGCATGAAAAGATACAATCAACAGAGTTAAAAAGGCAACACAGAATGGGAGAAAATATTTGCAAATCATATATTTGGTAAGGGGTTGATATCCAGAATATATAAAGAACTCTTAAGAACTCAATAGCAAAAAACAAACAACACAATTAAAAATTGGCAAAGGAGTTGAATAGACACTTCTCCAAAGAAGATAGGCAGGTGACCAATATGCACATGAAAAAATGCTTAGTGTCACTAATCATTAGGGAAATGCAAATCAAACCTATAACAAAATCCACCTCCTACCCATTAAGATGGCACTATCAAGAAAGCAGAAAATAAGTGCTAATGAGGGTGTGGAGAAATTGGAACCCCTGTGTGCTCACTGATGATGGGAATGTAAATGATGTAGCCACTGTGGAAACCGTCTGGGCATTCCTCAGAAACTGAAAAGTAGAGTTACCATGTGATCTAGCAATTCCACTGCTGGGTATATTCCAAAAAAAACAAACAAACAAACAAACAAACAAACCTGAAAGCAGGGCCTTGAAAAAATATTTACACACCCATGTTCATAGCAACATTATTTACAATTGCCAAAAGACAGAAACAATCCAAGTGTTCATTGACAAGTGAATGGATAAATGAAATGTAGTAAATACAAGGGTACTTCATACAGTTACTGGAAAAATAGAATTAAAAGATATTGTGAATCCTTCCATGAACTTTTTGAAGTACCCTTGAGCACACAGTGGGATATTATTCAACCTTAAAAAGGAAGAAAATTGTGAAACACGCTACAACATGGATGAACCTGGAGAATATTATGCTGAGTGAAATAGGCCAATTACAACAGGACAAATACTGTATGATTCCACTTACATGAGGTGCCTAAAGTAGTCAAATTTATAGAGACAGAAAATAGAATGGTGCTTGCCATGGGCTGGGAGGAGGGAGAAGAGGAGTTAATGTTTAAAGGGTACAGAGTTTCATTTTTGTAAAAAACTTCAGTCTCAGTTTTGAAAAGAGTTCTGGAGGTAGATGGTGGTGATGGTAGCACAAAAATGTGAATGTTTTTAACACCCCTGAACTGTACACTTAAAAATGGTTAAGATTGTAAATTTTATATATATTTTTACCACAATTAAAAAATACACAAAGTAATTCAAAGTAGTATTTATAATGAAAAATTAAAAAGTAAGAAATGAAGAAAGCATGGTAGGAGTAAAAGTTAAATGAAGAAGTAGTAGTGAAAGTGACGTATTGTATTTTATCTGTTTTATGTCTTTATTCTGATTTCGAATACAACCGCCAGAATGAATGGCAGAATTAAGAGGAGCAAAACCTGACGCACACAAGGAGAAAATATTGTTCAGCTTATCATGATGATAAACACAAAAGTATTAAAAACAAGCTGATTTTTATTTATGATTATTTTTACAGTTTCCTTCTGGGTTCCCAAGATGTTTTCCATTTCTCTGTTAACACAAAATAGTTCATTATAAATGAAAAGATTAACGCATTTATTATTTTAAAGATATTGAAGAATTAAATTGGTATTGAAAGACAATTCACTTCAAAGAAAAATGTCAGAGTAGTCCTGATGTGTAAGAAAATTAGCTTAGAAATTCAGCATCCCCAAAGATGGAAAAATGAGCACTGTTCAGGCACTTTTAAAAAATTTTGCCTGATATATCATGTTAATTACAAATGAACTAGAAAGCAAGTCTATGTAATTTTAGATAGTGAATTTTAGGTATCCTTTGGTACAGTGAACCAGTGTAATTTCTGTAAAGGTCTTGTTGTAATCTGCTACTTAAGAATAATCAGAATCTTTACACAATTGAATTTTGTATA